GCTGTCTTCATGGGTCAGTGAACTTTTGCTAACCCACAGAGCAGAACCCCTCCTTTAAGTGGCACCCAGGGCATGTGCCATACCCGGGAATACAGGAACAAACGTAGAGTTGCCTGGCCGCACTCCTTACCGTAAAGCCCCAATTCAATGAGGGAGGGTTGCTTGTAATGACTGCAGATGGCGCCGCCAATACCCAGGATACACCACTGGTCCAGTAAAACTAGAGGGATCCCGGTAGTAGCAATTGTTACATGTATTTGCTAATTCCCTCCAGAGTCTCTCGAATTGTTACATTGTATCTCCTGTTACTAACTTGTGTATTTCCTGTGATCCGGAGCTCCACCTAGTGGCCATAATCTGGTATTGTTCTGATTCATTCTCCTTTCTATGAATGAATCGCCTTTTACTACTGCCCACCAGCCCATCATACAGGTGAAACTCGAATAATTAGAATATCGTGCAAAAGTAATTGCAGTAAGTGCTGCAAAAGGGGCCCAAACCAAGTACTGAGTACATATGCATGCTTGTACTTTTCAGAGGTCCGATATTGTTCTATGTACAATCCTTGTTTTATTGATTGCATGTAATATTCTCATTTTCTGAGGTTGTGGATTTGGGGTTCTTGGGGTTTTCATGAGCTGTAAGCCATAATCATCACAATGATGACAAATCACGGCTTGAATTATCTTGCTTTGCATGTAATGAGTCTATCTCATATATTAGTTTCACCTTTTAAGTTGCATTAGTGAAATAAATGAACTTTGCACGATATTCTAATTATTCGAGTTTCACCTGTATACTGCATAGTTTTATGCAGCAAGTTCCGATGAGCTGTAATGCGGTGTATAAGAATGACCAGGCTGGGCAAAAATGTATTTTAAAATCGACAATTAAATAATATAAAAGTCAAAAGGTTTTCAAGCTATTTCAAATGCGGATTAAATCACGTACTGTACACAGGGCCGGTGCTAGCATTTTTTGCCAACACAGGCAAAGTTGAATTTTGCACCCCCCCACCTCTGCTCTCCCGCACCGAAGGTAAGTGAAGGAAAAAAAAAACATCTGGATGTATTCCTAAATGCACAGAATATTACTGGATATTTAGTTATTTTAGGTATATTAAGCATCAGAGATTGTTGATCCCGGTAATATCCAATTGCCTTATGGGATCAGGAAGGAATTTTTTTTCCCCTGTTGGAGCAAATTGAACTTTTTTTTTTCTTTTTTCATATCTCTATAGGTTGGACTCGATGGACATGTGTCTTTTTTCAACCTGACTAACTATGTAACTATGTAAAGGAGCCAGGTGAGTGTCATCTGAACAGTGCCTGCCAGCCAATCAGCTGCAGTCACTGCTCAGGTATTCTGACAGCTGCACACGCCAGCTGTCGGAATAGAATAAACCGACTAGGGGAGATTCCTTCATCATGGATGGGGGGAATCAAGTGATTTTAAAAATCCTACGGTGTATGGCTAGCAATAGATATAACCTGAAGCATCCCGGTGTAGTTTGATATCCTGCTTATTACTTTTTGCAGAGATAAGAAACGGAATTGCTGTGGGATCGGCTTTTCTTTGTCTTAGTGAATGTCTCTCGAGGAGCTTTGTGTTGTATATTGTACCGAGTGCAGGTTATGTCATTATATGTTGGACTTTATGTCATCCAATAGATTAGAGCTGGAG